GGCCAATAAACGTAAATCTTATGGGGGATATAAACCCTTACGCAAAGCTTTTAAGTACCCCTTCTAGACATTCCCTAACTGGCATTACAGCGGCTCATAACCAACCTGCCTTGCGGATCCAACGACGCCCATATCAAAAGGGGTAATTTATACAGGGTGAGCCCGAATACAATTACTTAATGATATATTATGAATAGTATGCCTAATTAACAATTAATAACAAAAAACATTAAGCAAACAGACGAAAACTTACTACAGATTCGAACCGAAACTGATTACGGTATATAAAACACCGTAAGTCAAACTCGGTACAATAGTACCTTAAAGTAGTAAAACAAACCCAGAACCCGGTAAAATTAGTTACATTACTGTGATGACCACTGTTTTCTCCGCGAGGCTCTATTTTACTCATAACATCGATAATAAGGCGTGACGGTGGCAATTCATTAATATAAAGAGAAAAAGTCCTTAACGAGTGAAACTTCCAATGATCAACAATTATGATAAAAAAATCTTAAGATAAAAAGATCGTGAGTTATACAAGTCCCTAATAACGTAAAATAAGATGCAAAGTGGAGGGGTTCATAGTATGAAATAATCATCTTTAATAACTACTTAAGCCGTTCAGTAAAAAAAAGGTACTCATCTACCCTTAAAATGGACTTTCTTACATTGAATAAGGCAACAGAAACTCGCAATATACTCACTGTCTTATTTCACCACTCAAAGATTTGAAGTATTTCGAGACGCTCAGGAGGGGGTCCGGAATAATCTCAGATATTTTTATTTTGTACATTAAAAAAAAAAAAAGTTTGGCAGCAATAGAGGGAAGCCGTGTTGATAGCGTGGGCCGGAATCATCTGGATTACCCAGGTTCAGATAGACAGAGATATGAGATAAGACAGAGATCGAGATAGACAGAGAGAGATATGACGAGAGAGGATAGACATGAGAGATAGATAGAGATAGACAGAGAAGAGATGAGGATAGAACGAAGAGAGATAGAAGATAGACAGAGAGAGAGATAGAGGATAGACATAGAGAGGATAGAGATAGACAGAGAGAGAGATAGATAGAGATAGACAGAGAGAGAGATATATAGAGATAGACCAAGAGAGAGAGAGATAGGATGACTAGAGAGAGAGAGAGATAGAGAGAGAGAGAGAGAGAGAAGAGAGATATAGAGAGAGAGAGAGAGACATAGAGAGAGTAGAGAGAGTACATAGAGATCGAGGAGATAGAGATAGAGAGAGATATAGATAGAGAGAGATATAGATAGAGAGAGAGAGATGCAGGAGAGAGAGAGAGATGCATAGATAGAGATGCAGAGAGAGAGTGACACCAGGAGAGAGAGAGAGAAAGAAGAGAGAGAGAGAGAAGAATAGAGAAGAGAAAAGAGAGAGAGAGAAAAGAGAGAAGATGAGAGAGAGAGAGAGAGAGAGGAGAGAGAGAGAGTAGAGAGAGAGAGAGAGAGAGAGGGAGAGAAGAGAGAGGAGAGAGAGAGAGAGAGGGAGAAGAGAGAGGAGGGAGATAGAGATGAGAGAGGCATGGAGCGGAAGAGGAGAAAGAGAGAGAGAGAGAGAGAGAGAAGAGAGAGAGAGAGAGAGGAGAGAGAGGAGAGAGAGAGAGAAAGGGATAAGAGAGAGAGAGAGAGAGAAGAAGAGGGAGAGAGAGAGAGAGAGAGAGTGGAGAGAGAGAGAGAAGAGAGAGAGAGAGGAGAATAAATGTTGATAGGATAATAAATGAAAAAATAAAATAATAAGAGAAAGCTTATATAAAAACACAATCTGAAGACGAAATTGATGACCTTACTAGTTTTCATTAAATATATAATTGAAAATCAAAGAAGAAGATGACGAGAAGGAAGAGAATGGAGGAAGAGGAGGGAAGTTACTTATAACTAACTATTGCTATCGTCACTTTTATCATTATTATTATTGTTATTATTGCTATTACTAATAATATCATTGTCATTTTTATCAACATTATTATTATAATTATTATTTTCACTGTGTTATTATTGTTATTATTATCATCATTATTATTATTATTATTATTATTACTATCATCATCATCGTCATCCATTTTAATAACATTATTGTTATTATTATTATAATCATTATTATCAATACTATTATAATCATTATTATCATTACTATTATAATCATTATCATTACTATTATAATCATTATTATCATTATTATTATCATTACTATTGTTATTATTATCATTATCATTATTATTATTATTATTATTATAACCATCATTATTATTGTTACTATTATTAGTATTGCTGTTATTATTTTTGTTATTATTATTGTCATTTCTGTTATTATTATTATCATTTTTGTTTTTATTATTTTTATTACTATCATTGTCATTTCTGTTATTATTATCCTTATTATTATCCTTATTATCCTAATTATCATCATCATCATTATAATAATCAGTATTATTATCATTATTCCTTGCCGCTTTTACTTCATTGCTTACATATAAGATAAACACATATGTTCAATATATAGTGCCGACTGAAGGGAAAGTAACAATACAGATTTATTTCACGAGGCCAGAATAAAGGATCTTAACTGTTGGAGACTGCTTTCGAATGAAACTAAAAATAAAACTACACTTTCATAGTGAAGAAGGCACCAGATGAGTGGATGGTGTGCACAGGTGGAGTTGCTCAAGCCCAAAATGTATCCACAGAGTAGCTCCCCTCCAACCGAAAATGAATCTCTGTCACACTCACCGTCGTATGGCTTGTCATCCAACGCTAAATTATCTAGGTTCTGAAGTGGCAGGTCTGACGCCTCGTAGCTTAGCGCTTCGTAATTGTTTTCTTGCTGTGGAGACCACTCTTCCTCGATCCGGAAGGAAGGGCTTCAGGTCGTGGAGGGCTTCGTCGGAAAGCTTCCAGTCGTTGACGTCGTAGTAGGAGGCCGAAGCGCCGTAGTCATCGTACGCTTCGGATGCTTGGTCTGCCTACAATTGGCTTGAATGTTAGATGACATATCACAAATATTCAGTGTTATCTGAACACATCTAGCTGAACTTAAACATCTATATGTATATATCTGTCTATATCTATCAATCTTTAGCAGATGTGCCTAAACTAAAAAATACACATTTCACCAAACTAATCACTAAAGTCTACTAACCCCAAGTCTCCAGTTATTGGCTTCCATGGTCTTCTGTGGACAGAAATGCCGGTCCTCGTAATAAAAACCAACGTCATTTAAATAGGTTTCGCACAGAGAATCTATATTTCCTCCACTGGCGACCAAGGGTTCAGGTGAGGTGAAGGAAGGCTCAAGACTGTCGTGTCCGTAATCCATTATGAAACTGTAACAGTCCTATTGAAAGCCTCGAAGTACCCTCAAAAGTATCTCTCTCTATGTGTCGCACTCGCACACTTAGGTATGAGATGCGGCCGCTGTATGTGTTTTCCTCAACCTACTATAGTAGACTTCTTGTTGCTTTTATCGTCCGGCCTCCCCTACATCATGAACAAGATCTTCCCACTGGTGGATTTTCAAAACGTTTGCTCCAGCGGGCCAGGGCTTGTTCCTTTTGCACCGCGGAAATATGAGTCACGTAGAATACCTTCGCCACACCCATTCGCCACACGTGGCAAGAATAGATGCTATACCAACTTTGGTACACGTTTATTTATTGTATTTACACATAGATAGCTCTACAAGTTCTTAATCACCAAATAGCCAGTTATCAAGAACTACTTATTTCACCTGTTTACCCTTTTCCTTCACTTTAGGAAAGAGATTTTTGTATCATTTCATTGTCAAAAATATTCTAATCACAATTCAATAATCATAAAATCAATAACAATAATAACAGTATCGAAAGCAATGGTATTAGAATACACTGAGAGAAGAGACTGAGGGACAGATAAAGAGAAGTATCGATGGAAATAATAACAATCATATAATTGGAAGTAAGTATAATGATGCGTTAAAATGAACAGGAACGTAATGTTGAGGAACAGCAATATCACTAAATCAACCATTAATTATCCTAAATTTCATTACTATACCCGTGTATAAATATACCATATAACCACTAAGAACATATGGAGTCTGATTGACAAAGAGAGAGAGAGAGGAGGGGAGAGAGAAAGAGAGAGAGAGGAGGGGAGAGAGAAAGAGAGAGAGAGGAGGGGGGATGCATGAAAATCAACAAACCGATTGTTGTTATTATCATTATCACACACACACACAATGAGATTCTTTGTCACCTGCCAGTGAGGGCCTACAATTCTCCAAATACTGATCCAAATGCTGAATAAGAGATCCGAACTCTGTTTAAACTGTTTCCCAGGTAAAGATATTCTTCAGTATTTATTTGGTATTAAGGTCTGATTTCTAGTACTTCCATACGGATCATGCGCTGTTTTTCATAAAGTAACAGCAACTCGGGTATCTACTGTATTTCAGTGTTTTCAAATGTAAAAGAAAAAGAAAGAAAAAAAAATATATATGTATATATATATATATATATATATATATATATATATATATATATATAGGGTAAGGTATAATGTAGTTCAATAAATAGTGCCGACTTAAGGGAAAGTAACAATACAGACTTATTTCACGAGGCCAGAATAAAAGGATCTGAATCTGTGAGACTGGCTCCTCGGTATGCAACACTGACACACAGGTAAAATATGTCGCGTTAATTTTGTCAATAATTTGTTTAAAATAATACCGATATGCAATATAACAAAATTACATATAGCTACCACATCTTGAAACTAATCTTTGGCATATTAGCACATGATATGTCAAGGACATATATTCGTAACACAGATGTTGATCTGGGGACGAACTATAAAAAATAACTTTCTCTTGTGTTTTGTACATTGTAACGCTTCCTGCCTTGCCTTTCCTCTGCCTTCACTTCAATCTGAAGAACACATTTCACACTCTCTTTTTGACTTGGCACGTAATCCACACCGAGGCTTCCTCATTGCTTTTCTCGTCTTACTCATCCTAAACATCTTCATAGGAAGAACCCTTGCGCAGGTCGATCAGGTACTGGAGAGCCTTGGGCCCACATCGGTACACCAGCTGCTTTTCTGACACTGGTTGTAAGGCGCCTCTGCTATAGTGGTACCTATGAGAGGAAATTATACTTAGATAATGTTGCGAAGCTTAATTTGGTTTGTAAACTTGTAAATGTGCGTGGTTTATTTTATGTACATTCTCTATCCGTGGTCTTATAAATATGGCGAGTCAGGGTTTATCTGATTCGCCAGTATTTACAGGAACCTACCTGAGACCTCTAGCAAAATTGTTATAAGTTAAAGGAGGCGAATCTGGCGTTCGTGTGGACCACATCTGTGCGATTTTTTCAGGCTGAACCAGACGGAAGGTCGCCGTAGACTCATCTTCCCAGCGAATTAAAGACGGGTTCGTTCGCTTGTCCTGCCAGTAGCCGGATCAGGAACTCCCAGTTTTTGGGACCTCGAACTGAGGAAGCAACAGTTGTTCTTATAATCCGGCATATAATATTGAATTACGTGAATGTGTACAAGTTTCTATTACTTTTGTTTCAGTACTAGAAGCATAGCCTACCTCGTTTTCTTTTTGAAGGTATTTTCTCCAGGATATTGGGAGGCTGTGAGATGAACTGCGGTTCGTTAACAGGTATGTGGGCGCCGGTGGAAGAGTACATTGGCTCTGGAGACGAATACTCTGTAGTGGATGGTGGGCACAGAGACTGTCGAAGCTCACCATTAAATCCTGTTAATGTATTTAAGGCATCGATTAGTTCAGGTTCTGATTTCTAGAGTTCTAATGATTAGTTTAGAATAACTATATATTTACATGTAATTGTTTGTAATAGTTCCATGTAAAACTATGAAATGAAAAGCTAAAAATAAAACTACCAGCTTTCATAGTGAAGAAGGCACCAGATGAGTGGATGGTGTGCACAGTGGAGTTTGCTCAAGCCCAAAATGTATCCCACAGAGTAGTCCCCCCCCCCCCAACCGAAAATGAATCTCTGTCACACTCACCGTCGTATGGCTTGTCATCCAACGCTAAATTATCCAGGTTCTCAAGTGGCAGGTCTGACGCCTCGTAGCTTAGCGCTTCGTAATTGCTTTCTTGCTGTGGAGACCACTCTTCCTCGACCAGCAGGAAGGGCTTCAGGTCGTGGAGGGCTTCGTCGGAAAGCTTCCAGTCGTTGACGTCGTAGTAGGAGGCCGAAGCGCCGTAGTCATCGTACGCTTCGGATGCTTGGTCTGCCTACAATTGGACTTGAATGTTAAGTGACATATCACAAATATTCAGTGTTTGAATATCCTCTCATATGCGTACAGCGTATTGTTATCTGAACACATCTAGCTGAACTTAAACATCTATATGTATATATCTGTCTATATCTATCAATCTTTAGCAGATGTGCTAAACTAAAAAATACACATTTCACCAAACTAATCACTAAAGTCTACTAACCCCAAGTCTCCAGTTATTGGCTTCCATGGTCTTCTGTGGACAGAAATGCCGGTCCTCGGGATAAAATCCCAACGTCATTAAAATAAGTTTCGCACAGAGAATCTATATTTCCTCCACTGGCGACCAAGGGTTCGGTGAGGTGAAGGAAGGCTCAAGACTGTCGTGGTCCTGTAATCCATTATGAAACTGTAACAGTCCTATTGAAAGCCTCGAAGTACCTCAAAAAGTATCTCTCTCTATGTGTCACACTCGCACACGTAGGTATGAGATGTGGCCGCTGTATGTGCTTTCCGCAATCTGATTACAGTAGACTTCTCCTTGTTGCTTTTATCGTCCGGCCTCCCCTACGTCATGAACAAGATCTTCCCACTGGTGGCTTTTCAAACGTTTGCTCCAGCGAGCCGGGGACTTGTCCCTTCTGCACCGGGGAACACTGAGTCACGTAGAATACATTATTCATTGCCGCGCGTCTTAACCCAATGGTGCCGGGGAAAATTAACAAAAAATGGGGGAAATATTGTGGCCCACTTTCTATGTTTTTCGTGAAATGTCTGCCGATAGATGGTTCTGCTAGCGCCTGATTTAAATGGCGGGAAAAACGATTTTTCACTAGTGTTATTTTATCATAAACATTATATTTTTTATATATTTTTTTTAACATAGTAACAGCAAAATAAGATTACGGTAAAATATTTCGTAAATCAATAGAAAACGGGTAAACGGGCTCATTGGGGGAATTAGTACAAGTGTTGCCATCGATGCGTAAAAACAATCAACAAGTACTCACGGTACGTAAGTACACGTCATAACCCGGCACCTAGGGTTAAGGAATGCTGAATTATGAATCGGGAATCTGCCCATACACCGCTTTGGAAGGGAAGTTACTCAGTATTTTTTGTCCAATTGTTTTATATTTCTTCAGTTTATTATATTTATATATATATGTTGTGTATGTATGTGTGGTATGTGTGGGTTATGTGAATGTGCTGAATATACACACTCACACACATATCTATATCTACCTATCTATATATAGTCATATTTTGGTCTGTGTGTATTTGCATGTAATATATACAGATATACATATATATGCATATATATATACTATATATATTATATATTATATATATATAATATATATATAATATATGCCGTATATTTAAAGAAGTGTTTAACGCCCCCAACCACGCCCACCTTCATATATATCTATATTTATATATATTCATATTTATATATAATATTTATATTCATATATGTATGTATTCATATGTAATTATTATTATATATTATACAGTATCCACTTGTATATCTATCTATATATGCTTATGTTTATCTAT